AGTTCACAGGTTAATCAATGTTACCAGTAAATGTGAAAATACACTCAACTTCATTAATAAGGATTACTCTGCCTATCAGATTGGTAAATACTGTACTCAAGAAGCTATTCAGCTGGCAAATATGCAGGGTAAAAGTACTTTTCTTACAAAGTAGTAAAAATATAAGTAAGGGTATGGATGTCAAGATTTCAGACTCTGCAACTAGTTTTCCTTGCCTGGGTTCAAAGACGGGTAAGCTCTGTGTCCCTGAACAGGTAACTTCACTTCTGTACTTCATTTTCTTCATTGTATTAATCACATTGTCACAAGAAAGGAGTGGCATTTCTATGCTTCCAAGACTGCTAAGTCAAGGGAAAGGGTCAAAACACATAGGCTGTTAAAGCCCAGGAATGAAATGGGTCCACTCACATTTCCATTTCAAGTTTATAGTCAATTTATCAATTTCAGTGACAAGCCAGCTAGAATTCTGGTTGTTATTACACTGAATCTCTAGATCAATTTGGGAAGAATAAACATCACCTATTACCTACAATTCTTTCTACTGTTATTTTTTTCTGAATCTTTAATCTATGGGGATTGAAGTATAAGCATAGAAAACGGCTGTTATTTTTTCTAAAATGTGCAAATAAGGCTGGGTTGCAGTGGCTAATGCCTGTAATCCTAGCACTACGGGGCCGAGGCAGGTGGGTTGCCTGAGCTCAGGAGGTCAGGAGCAGCCTGAGCAAGAGTGAGACTCTGTCTCTAAAAAACCTAGCTAGGCGTTGTGGCTGACACTTATAGTCCCAGCTACTCAGCTGAGGCTTAAGCAAGAGGATCACTTGAGCCCAAGAGTTTGAGGTTGCTGTGAGCTGTGATGCCATGACAGGCGACTGAGGGCAACAAAGTAAGACTCTTGTCTCAAAATAATAATCAGATGAATAAATAAAAATTTACTCTCTATTCCCAGATGCTTAATCTCAATCCAAAATTTTACCAAAGTTATCATCAGCTAAATATATGTGTAATAATGAGCCAATTTATAATTTATATTTTATGTGTGGCAAGGGAAGGGACTGGAGGCTGTGAGGAAGACAGAAAAGAAGGGAGACTTTATTATATACTTTCTAAAATAGTTTTTGATTTTTGAACCATGTGGACTCATTTTGCATTTAAAAATGTAAAAACTATATAAAAGCAATTTTACAACTTAAAATACTACTTACCAGTCATATTTTCATCCAATGTTAGAGAAACTCCCACATCACAAATTTTAATTGTTTCAAAATCCCCTTTAATTACAACATTTGAAGACTTTATATCTCCATGAAGCAGTTTCTTTTCTTGGTGCAGATACTAAAGTAATAAAAAATATAGCACATCTTGAACTCCCTAAACTATAGGCTTATATTTGCCCAGCATTTCAAATTATCTGAAGCAAGAGAAGGAAACATTCCATACACATATTGGTCTGCCATACAGACCAGAAATTTAAAATGTTTTTTTAGAGGTAGATGTTTTACTTAGAGAGGTTCAAAATTCATCTCTTTTAACACTTTTATATCAAAGAGCAGATGTTAAGCTAAAACTGCCATTTTACTCGAGGCTAACCTAATAACAATATGAGATAACAGATAACCAAGTGCCACATATACAGTCATGTACCCCATAATAGGTGCCCACCACAGCACCTGCCTATTTTGTTGTTGCAGTTGTTGTTTAGCTGGCCCATCTGGCTTCGAACCCGCCAGCCTGGGTATATGTGGCTGGTGCCCTACCCACTGAGCTATGGGTACTGCCATTACAAAAGTTTTGAGATACACAGAAATCAAGAAACCTAAAACCCACGGCTCAGCACCTATAGCTCAACCGGCTAAGGCGCCAGCCACGTACACCTAAGGTGGCGGGTTCGAATCCCCAGCCCGGACCCGCCAAACAACAA